AGTAAGAAAGCTCTAGTCGAGACTGCTCGACTAGGAGATCCCCTGAACCCTTCGAACAAGTGATATTTCAATAATAATTCACACATGCAAACAAACACAGGCACACACACACACACATATATATATATATATATATATATATATATATACAGTCGATTGCGCTTGGGTTGCGCTGCAGTGTTGGCAATATTTTGAGAATTTATTTATTGAATAATTTAATTTCTAGACGTACGATCTGAATGAAACCTTCAGAACGTAATCATAATGCTTAAATGTATATACCGAAGCACAAGTCTCTAGTATTTGCCAAAGCCTTTTACAAAGATGATGGTGAGGGGGTGGATATAGAGCTGGGGGGTTAATTACAACAAAAACCGAAATTATTTAAAATACATTTAAAATTTGGAAACCCTAGCTAGGTGTAGGACACATAATTAAATAACTGGCTTTCCATAAGGTTTTCTGTTTTTAGAGATAAACTCGATATGCGCATGATATATACGGACCTAGGAAACAAAATTTCAAGTCTCTAGCTCTTATATCTTCTGACGGACGGACGAACAGTCAAACGGACAGGGCCAAATCGACTCAGCTCGTTGCCCTAATCAAAATATATAAATACTTATATATATATATATACTTTGTGGGGTCTGCCACGCCTCCTTCTGCCTGTTACAAACTTTCAACAAAACCATTATACCCTGATATCCCATTTTCAATGGGTTCAGGGTATAATAAGTTTATATTTTAGTTAACATATAGTTTCTTTACAAAATATGTATCTTAAATTATATATTTTATAATAATTATATATTATTCTAGCTTAAAGAGATTACAAATTTCATAAATAATATAATTTTTGCATTCCCTAATTTATTATATGTAGATACAAAAAAAACTTCGATTATTTAAAATCTAATGCAAATGCATGCAATGAAAATGCAAGAAACCCGAGTACTCGACTTCCCTATCGTCATTAACCTATCGATAACAATAAATGTACATTTCTAAACTTCTTAATGAAAGCCGATAAAAATAATGTTCACAAATAAGTTAATAAAAGTTTATATTCTTTGAATATTAATGTCAAAATAACATAATTAATTCTGCTCTATTACGATACGGTAACACTATAATTTTTGTCAATAATGAGTGATGTTGACGAAAATAAAATCGATCTTCCCCCACTTAGCTTTGAAATATGTATGTATGTCAGATAAACCAATTTCAATTAAGTTGTATATATATATATATATATATATATATATATATATATATATGCATATATATAAATATTATATATATATATATTGTAGGTCCAGAGAGCGATGGTGAGCGGAAGAAGCGAATCGAAATTGAAAAATTAATTGTCGATAACCCTGACGGCAGGATTCCATTAAATGCATTGCAAGAGTTGGCCCTTAGCGATTTCGGATTGGTAAACGATGACCTAAGGCGAGTTCTGTGGCCGCAATTGGCAGGAGTTGATGTCACAAATTTGGAACGTGTGCCAACTCTTGATGAGTTGCAAAGCCACCCGGAATTCCATCAAGTTTTGCTAGATGTGAATCGCTCATTAAAGAGATTTCCTCCAGGCATTCCTTACGAGCAACGTATTGCCTTGCAGGACCAGCTGACAGTGCTCATACTGCGAGTAATCAAAAAGTATCCGAATTTACGGTATTATCAGGGATATCACGATGTCGCCGTAACATTTCTATTAGTCGCTGGCGAGGAAGTCGCATTCGCCATCATGGAACAACTCTCTACAACCCATTTCTCTGAATGCATGCAGGAAACAATGGAGGCGACGCAGCGCCGTCTCATGTTCATTTGGCCGATTGTACTCTTTGAGCAGCCAGAACTTTTCCACTTTCTACAACGGTCTTCAGTGGGCACTTTGTTTGCCTTACCCTGGTATCTGACCTGGTTCGGACACAGCTTAAATTCATACAAGGCTGTTGTACGATTATACGATTATTTTCTTGCATCGCCGATGTATACCCCGATTTTTGTTACCGCCGCAATTCTATTGCATAGATCAAATGTTATACTTCAGGAGGACTGTGATATGGCATCAGTGCATTGTCTCTTATCAAAGGTAATTAATTTATGTATTCGTTCTTAAGTGTCTCCCCCGGTGCAGTCACCGAAAATCGAAGGATCTCTGTTGCAAGGTTGTATGTTTTTATACTCATTCGCGAGTGAATGTCCAGAAATCATATTAGCTAAAGAGCTAGAAAGCTAAAATTTTGAATGTGCATCCACGTGGACCACCCATGATCACAAGCTATGGATATAGCGCCCATTGGGTGCGTTGGCAAATCGGAAATTTTGCACGTAAGCTAATGTTATGACTCTATAAAGACTGATGTAAAAATAAGTCTACGCTCACTAGGGGCATGGCCAATTGGATCACAAGACGTATTGATTTTTTAAATTCTGCTACATTATGATAATGGTAAAGACCTTGAATTTGGTATATATACTCGGGCTGACCGCCCAAGACCAAACAAATTGCCGGATATTTGTCTGCACACAGGGAGCGTGGCGAATCGCAAAGAGCATATCTCCTAAAGTATAAGAGCTAGAAGCTTCAAATTTGGATAATTAAGTTACTAGTAACCTCATCTATCGATGACTCAAAAATATTTATTCAGCCCCTTTAGGGAATTTTTAGAACGTAAACGTTCAAATTTTGTTATAAGGTTAGGTGAAGTGAGGTGAGGTAAGGTGTCTACAGCCAGTAGAGACGTGGCAAATTGGGAAAAAACATTTTCTACAGTATTACAACTAAACTTAGCCACTAAATTGCTGATGGGATGTGAATGAGTATTCAGCAGTCGGTAACGCCTGACTGCAACGTGCTTGCTTTTACTAAATAAAGTCTACTTTCAGCTGCCAGATGATTTGCCGTTTGAGGACATTTTAGTCAACTCCAGTAAATTATATGACAAATATAGTTTGACTGTAATCGAAAAGAAAGTAGAAGAACTCATTCAAAAGGAGTAAGTACATTACAGATTTATTGATTTCCAATGCAATAAAACTTAAACATCTTGTCATACAGGAAAGAACAGCGCAAGCTTGAGGAAGAACGGCGGATTAATTATCGACGATCTTGTTCTTCTAAGTCTAATTATAATGTAAGTAAATGGTTCTTAAGCGTGCTAACGCCAAAATCTGTTATGATGACAACCGCCGTTTCGATTGTCGTTGGAATTTGCGCTTATTACTACAAAAATCAGTATTTGGCCGCGGGTATAAGCTGAGTTTGTGAGTATTTCAGCCCAACGATATTTTTCGTAATACGTTCGGCATCTGTTCAGCCCAAGTGTGGTTGTATGGTTAAAATTTGCCTTTATTAATTATTAGCTAAGCTGAGCATGAGTGTAAAAATATACACACCCAAAGTATGTACACCATTAAAGTAAAGAGTAAAAACATTTGAACATTGTAAAAAATTACATATAATCTTAATTAGTGAATCAAATCCAAATGTTTATTACTATTGTATATAATTTAGATATTTGTAAATGAGTTTATGAAGCTAGCAAAATTAAATGTATGCATACCTTATAATAATATAAATAAAATAACATGTAAATTATCATTAATTTTGACTTTTATTCATTTATTACAATGTGCGAATGTAACCGAAATAATCATGGTGTAATTTACTAAATATATTTTTATTTAATATATGTGAAATTATATTTAATAATCTATACCAACAACAAAATATCTACATAATATTGAATTACTAATAATAGTCCTTAAACAATGGGGGCTGTTCCTTTGATTTAAAATGGGTCTTATTTCGTTACGCCGGCTAAAAGTCGACCAACGCTTGCAGACAAAATTTAAGTAAAAGAAAAGATTCGAAATTATAGGAAAGCAGATTTTCTTGACTCTAAAATTAGTCTATATTTAACATAAATATATTAGTTTGGAGTTTATATTTACAAATGAATAAAAATTTCTAACAATATTTAAGTGCTTTGTCTCTTTTAAGTGACTTCTCCAATACCTCAATCATAGCGCAAAGCTTCCCTAAATCCATTTCAAAATAGATATTTTCTCTTTTTGAATGTGACTGGCAATGTACATTTATGCTAGATACTTGTCGAATATTGCTTCTGAAACTGCTATCTCCCAATATTAAACGTGTATCCCAGGAAAAAGATACTACGCACTTGATATCCTTCTTCAGGTACTCACTTCTCCCAAGAGCATGCTCAATTGCATCCAATCTCGCAGCGAGCACCAATGGTACAAGTGGTCCGAATTCGGGACTTAAGTGTGGTAACTTTTCAGAAATATCTATTTCGCCGCCATCTGTATAACATTGTTGGTAGTATTTTGAGATCGTTCTTGTAGCCAGTAAGAAGTCGTCAGGATTTTGAAATCCATATTTATGAGAAAAGCGTAGTGCCTGTTGCTCGTTGATGTTTCCAATTAAGAACTCAATAGACAGATGGAGAACCTAATAGAGAATGAAATGTATTTTATTATTTCATGTGTGAAGCTGCCTGCAAGTATACCTCCATAAAAATTTCTTTATTATTAATACTCTTTAATAACTCCATTTTAATTAATGAAAGTAATATCAAAGACACTAATGCTTCTTACTCAGTACAGTATTAATTGTTTATCAAATTATAGCGATACACCAAGTGTTCGAACGTTTCCACTTTAGCGTGCTATCGATAAGATTGATGCGGCTTATCCACATTATAATAGTAGGGGGTATACACAGATGAATTTGTTACACGAAAATGTACGCCGAGTTTTCCTATTAACTATCGCAAACATCATTTTATAACAAATTTTGGACTGTGAACATGCCGGAAGAAAACAAAATCGAGCTTAATGGCAACAACTGCGCCTCTTATTATTTTTGCCAGTTCCCGCCTATATGAAGCCTGCAGAAAATTTACTTTTGCTTTGAAGGCAACATTATATTTTAATTATAATTTGTCGCAAGGTTCGTTGCGCAACTTTTTATTTTGATAGTTTTCGCTTTTATTTTACCACAAAGACACTATTTTCTTAATTAAATTCATTTATGATTATTTGTTTAAAATTTTTTTATTTCTTCAACTATAGACTTCTCCACTTTTAAGAGAAAAAGGAACGTTGCAATCATCACCTCACTCTCAACAGAAACGTATTTAATAACGATACCTCAACACTATTAACGTATAAATTATATGTTGTATATCCATATGCATATATATTAAAACATAAAAAAAGGCAGGTTTTTAAAAAATATTTGTATATATAAATAAATAAATATAAATAAATAAAAAAACTTAACGCTTCCAAATTTATTTTTAAGTTCCTCACGAATGAGAGGAGCCAGCGCATACCCAGGTTGTTGATGGGAGCAATTAATGTGTGATTTGCCACAAGTAGGCAAATTGCTATCTCTTGCACTGTGATTTTTGTTAGAGTTTGTCAAAATCAATTTTTCTTTGTCATTGTACGCACAGCCTCAACGCTCGTGCCAATATTCTCTTTTATACACAGCAACATCAATCTCAAGCGACCGACGATTTACGTCGTTATATCCGTCGCTATATATACATACACATACAAACATATATTACAAAATATACATACATACATATATAGAAATTTGATTATCTATTATGTTTCTCTTATTATTCTAACAGTGGGCTAACATACCAGCACACGAATTTGGTTTCCAATAGCTCGGTCCACTTAGAAAAAATATAATTGCTTCCAATATATTAACGACAACTTTATTGCAACATTTCTATATTGTTATTTACAGGTTCTCGACATCTAAGTTAAATATTCGCTGAACTAATTGTAATTTTTTTATCATTACTTTCGTGCTCAGTAAAAGGTACCATTGATACGCAGCCTTCGGGATCATCACGGCTAAATAATTTATTGCTTGTATCGTTAAGATTAATATTAGAAAATCTGTCGAGCACTGGTGCAATCGGTAAGCTCTGATACTGATCATCATCTGTGCCAAAATAAAGCCTCAGCTGATGTTGTATGTTCTCCTTCTCGTTAGCACGATTCCGTTGAAAGTCTTCCTCAACTCTAATTAAAAAAAAAAAAATAAAAAAAAATAAAAATAAAAAAAAATAACAATTATTAAAAAGTATAAATAACCACTTATAACACTTACTTCTTTAATGCTTCAATTTGGCCATCTAATGATACTTTCAGCTTTGAAGACTTTCCAGATTTGTCTGCATTTAATCTTTTCTCTAATAAACGAACGGGATTATTGAACCAGAAACGATGATGAAATGGTTTATCATCTTCCAATGGTAAGGCCTCTTCATTCATAGCCTTGAATTAAAAAAATGGAATATTTTGATTTAAAAATTATATTTTACAAATATTTTAATATGTATACCATTATTGGAAAAACGGGAGTTTCATCTTGTAAACTTTGCGGCATAGGTCGCTGTCTGCTTTTGAAATAACGGTTTGATTTAGGCTCTTGGATATTGGCTTTCGGTTCGGCTTTATAAACTTTCATTGAATTTGTTTGATCATTACTACCTGGCAGGTACATCACGTGCTTTCCACCAGTTAAAAACTTTATTGATTGTGCCTCCAATGGAACAAGTCTTTGCCTTTTGCTTCCATGATCCAAACTCTTCGTGTAATTTTCGGTACCACTGACATTTTTATGAAGCATCCAATTATTAGAGCATTCCAAATTGGATACAGCAATATTTTCCTGCTGATGCAAACTCGAGGTTCTTTGGTAAGAAGAGGATCCAGCGCTAGCACCATTTAAATCATTTTCTGGCCTCGATTTCTGTAAGCTCTTGTAGTTGCACACCTTTGAATATAGGCAAAAATAAAAAGTAATAAAGTAATTGTTATTTATTATGCTAATACTTTTATATATATTAATCTATCTTATAAATATAATATAATAACGAGTCAAAGCTCATTATGCTCGATAGCTCTGAATTCTCTATGTACTTTCTTGGTGTGTTGATATACGTAAGTTGAGTTGAGTTTCTTGATATACATATGTAATTTTATGTTGTCCACATTACCTATATAAATTGATGAATTAGTAATTGCAGCTACAAAAGATCTATTACAAGTTATGCAATGAAGAAGAACTTTTTCGTACTTCTAAGTATATCAATTTATAATGTAAATAATATATGTAATGTAATAAAAGAGAAGCCAAACAGATAAAGAAGCTATTAATACATACTTCTAGATTGACAATGTTTCGGGAATGCTGTGTATGAGTATCTCTTGGAAGCGATAGGCTAAAAGTGTGGATGGAACTTCCTACATTTTTCGCCTTGCCACCATAGAAGAGCAAGCTATCGCCTTCACACTTAGAACGATAATCATCCGAACTTGAATCGTCGCCCGTAATAAGGCCTTTGATTTTATCATCATTCTCATCGACAAGATCTTGTTCAGGTGTCCAATTTTGAAGTATGTGGCTCGGCTTGGCAAGCTGTTTCATTTGTGAAGTTCGATTAAACTGTATAGGCGTCTCACCGGTTGTCGTCTTCGGACTATTTAAAGTATTTAATATTTTTGACTTATCTATGTGCTCTTGATGTTCGATCAGGGATCGCCAGGCTAAAGTTGGACTAAACGAAGGTGTATCCATCTGTCGACGTGGCAAGGTGGGCCGAATACGCACAAGAAGTCCATTGTCATTTAAACTCTCTTCCCGACACGAATTTTCTTTATAAAGAGTGTCATAGTTGGAAACTTCGTCACTTGGCAGTTTTTCCTTAGCTAAAAATGTTTTTCATTGAAGTCAAAAGATGTTTTAATTTTAATAAACTAAAAAGCTCACCAAAAGCAATGGAGTGTATATCAACAACATCAGTTTCCATACCAAAATAAAATGTTCGTTGGCATTTATTTTCTTGAACTGAAACCACTCCATTATCGAAATTTTCTTTTTGAGGTGAAGTCTCATTTTCAAATGTACTATCTAAAATCTGATTTTTATCCCTTTGATAATCATTTACTTTGCTAATCAATGAATTCGCCTTTATTTCAGGCTGAATCAATCTTTGACTTCTTAGCAAAATTGCATCCGAGCTCTTTTCTCGTCGAAAGGCGAATTTGGGACGTTCATGAGAATTGCGTTGGCAGTTAGTTTCATTAACACTTTTACGAATCCCATGGTCTCTATTTATTAGAGGTTCAGTTTGTGTCGGCACTGAGCTCGGGATTTGTTTACTAAGTTTACGATCTGCATTTTTGGCGTAATGCATGGATTTCGAACTAGGCGTATTTCGCAAAATCTCCGTATTATTTTTTATAAGTGGTGTTGTTGCTGTGACTGCTTGGGGTACCTCAGGAGCTCTTCTCTTTTTCGAATACTTCATCCGATTATTCGCTCTCAATGGTTGTTCTTGCATGTTTGTTGTGACTGCGGCTTGTTGATTAAGGCTATTTATGAGTTCCGGCTCCGAATATGTGTGTCTCTGCATTCGGAAGAGATTTGAGTCATTCATATTTGACGCAGAGTCTTTCTGTTTCGCCTTTATATGAAGCAATGTTTGCGATCGCGTAAGTTCTGGCCTTGTATCAGTTTTTTTATTTGAGCCAGAGCTACTGTCGTGGACAGTTTCAAGCACGAATGTTTTGGATTGTTGACTAAGTATATGGGACACATTTTGAAGTTGGTTTTCATTTTGTTTTCGGCCACTTATCGTACCACCGGAATTTAAAATTGCACCATTCGTTGTAGCTCGTAGATGTAGCCGCTTATCCACCTCCGGCAGCACTTTCAATGAGCTTTCCATTGGAGAGCCTGATTCTTTCTTTAAAAGTGCAGATGGGTATGATCTTCTCCATTCTGTGGTTAAGCTTCGCTGCGGGCTACTAGGGATAGACCTTAACACAGATCTACTCCATTCAAACTGACGATGTGAGTGCTGAGTTTGATGTTGAAATCGTGTTTGGAAGTGAGCACTTCGATCGATGCCGGATCTTTCGATATTAATATGATGCGCACTACCAGAGTTTCCCATTTTTAGTGAATCTGTTAATGATTGCCATTTAGTTCAGTTATATACCTGAGAGGACAATCAATAACATTTGTCATACTTACAAAGCTTACATTATATGAACCCAACGTTGACTTGTATGATGTACTGATGTGCAGATATCCAGTTATATAAAGGAAAAAAAATTGATATTTTTTAGAAAAATTTTTAACTAATTATATTACAATTTCAAATCATGTTTAAAATTGCAGCACTAAAAAAATAGTGGGGTGAAGGGTGGAACGGTGGTAGGGGCAAAAAGAGCACAGGAGAAAGAATATGAGAATGAGGGACCGAAAATTAAAATAAGTGCAGACGAGATGCTAAGAAGAGGCGTCTAAGCCAAGGAAGCAGGAGTGTGCATTTACACATATAAAGTTTAGGGAGAGGAATTATCCATTCAAAGAAAACAATTCAAAGTCAAAAATATACGAAAATAGAAAATATTATCTAATTCTATTCTAATCCCATACGGTTAGTCTATATATCTACAGAGGTCGATCACAGAAACTAGAATTTGGAGCCAAATATATTTAAACACAAGTAAGAAAGCTCTAGTCGAGATTGCTCGACTACGAAATCCCTAAACCCTTCGAAGAATTGATATTTCACAATAGTTATTCGCATATTTCTGCTTACACAAGTAACATACCGACTCACACACAGAAAAACAAGGGGATACAAGCATAAGCACGCATTGGCTGTAGTGTGTACTTACTATGGGAACTTAATTGCTTAAAGCCTTTTCTCGTATATGAAATATGCTCATGAAACATTAGCATTAAAGTGGAGATATGACCAAAGCACAAGTATCTAGTATTTGAAGTACGGCTCTTACAAAGGTGAGGGTGAGGGGGTATCCATATGAGTCCACATTTCAAATTTGCAGACTCTACATATAAAGGATTAGGAAATTTTTAATCGATTGATATTCAATTAATCAATTATCAATTTTTGGTAAAAGACTCGAATGCGCGAGATATACACGGACCCAGGAAAAAAACTTCAAGTCTCTTATATCTTATAGATCGACGCGTTCAAAAATACGGACAGACGAACTAAATCGCTCAGCTCGTCGTCTGATCAAAATAATATGTACATATATACTTTGTGGGGTCTGCTACGCCTCCTTCTACCTGTTACATACATCCTTTTAGCAAACCCATTATACCATCATGGGTTCAGGGTATAAAAAGAAAGATACAAAGGACACGAATCGAATTTGTGATATTATGATTTACAGTAGAACCTGAATCACAGCAAAGTTTTTAATTCTCTACCTTTGTCTTACCAAATGAAATCTATACTATGAGCATTTCGATATTACTCTAATATATTTTATATGATTCTCTCAATCGATAAAAGATAGTTTTCATGAAAGTTTTGATTTGATGATATCATAAATTAGTGCACATGTTTTTGGTCTCTCTAGTATCGTAGAGTTGCGAACGAAGAACTGAACACAAATATTGGTCACAGCTGGAATTTTGCACATTGTATAAAGCTGCGTTTAGTTTTCGAGTTTTTATACCCTAAGCTATGTATGTTCTGCCTGTCCGTGTTAAACGAGTCGATCTCAGAAGATATAAGAGCTAGAGACTGGAAATATTATAGGTCCGTATATATCACGCACACTTCGGTTTTTATTTCCCGTTATTTTGTTATCGATTAGATACCTCACCGAAAAAAATCCAACTTTTTTTTGAACTAGTCGTAGCACATGCGTGTTTATGGGTGCGTGCTTATATGTAAATTTAATTACATACATACTATGTATATGTGTGTGTGTTTCTTTTGTATGCGGAAAGACGCGAAGAAGTACTTTCGATTAGAGCTTTCTTACTTATTAATTAACTTTATGCATTTTAAAAAATTTTGAGGTCAAAGGAAATACATACATAAGTAAATTTGTTTAGAGTATAATTAGCTCGGTTTTTTGTTGTTGTTTTTTGGGTTACCTGATTTGTGCCAAGAGAAAGAGCGTACGATCGTAGATTCATTTGTGTGTTGTACATACATACATACTTATGTACATAAATGAGCACATGCATGAATGTATGAGTGTATGTATGTAAGATAAAAAAATTATAAAAGCAGGAGTTAAACGAAAAAGCGTCGGTTCATGTCTGCACATCAGGTTCAATTTGAATGAAACTTATACACTTGCATTACAACTTTTTCACAAACTTTATTAACTATGTACGAAGTTTTCTTAGTATTGTATTAATAGTGAACTTTCTTTTTACAGAAACGTTAACATTTCTCTGTTATTCGTAGGGGCCACTCCATTTGCTTTCGCTATTGTAAACACGACAGCAGTCATGCAGTCCTATGTACGTACATACATATGTATGTAGAAGCAACAAAATGAAATTATTTTGACTGATTATGTGTGACAATGTATGGGCTTATATTTTAGTATTTTTTTATTTATTCTAATTTCTCAAAGTATTAGTCGGTGTTTTCTTTTTTTGCGCAGACAACGTAGACAAGACAGAAACACTGCAATGCGCGCAACCGCTTTCACAACATTGATCTCAGCAATTTGAACCTTTGCTTCCATTGTCATTGTAAGAGAAGAGAGTCAAAAGCTTCTTTTCGTGCTGCCGCCAGCAAAGCCGAGTCCCAACATACATACATATGTATGTACATGCATACATATATACATATGTATCGCTGTTTGTTATGCGTGTGTGTAAGAAAGTATGTATATATGTATGTATGTACATTTGTAAAAGTACAAGTTTGTGTGTAACCGGATCTTTTTCGCTCATATTGATCAAAGTTCTCAGCTGGTTTATAATAATATTCAGAAACATTCATATGTACATGTACATGTATCTGTCAAAAAAGGAACTATACATACATATGTATTTATGTATATATATATACATAAATGCATTGGTATACATAAATTTGTATACCCTGAACCCATTGAAAATGGGAAATCAGGATATAATGCAAATTATACAATTTCGATTTTTGTTAAAATACAAATCCATTTTAACAAAACCATTATACCCTGATTTCTTATTATCAATGGGTTCAGGGTATAAAATATACAAATTAAGCTCTCAGTGCATTTAACTAACACAAACAAACAGGATGGTTTCCCGATACGACAACATGGCACATATAGTTGTCCGTGAAAAAAAACAGAAGTATGTGAATTTGGATTAGAAAGGCTATTTCCACATCCACATACAGACAACGTTTGGCCTTGTGACTTATTGATTGATTGAATGCGTTTGAATTCAACTGACCCATCTGTAGGGATCATAGGGATTCGTGGCTACAATACATTTCACCTTGAAACTTACCATTCAAAATGGTGGCATCAATCACGTTCTTCATTAATTTTTATACCCTGAATCCATTTAAAAAGGGAAATCAGGGTATAATGTTTTTGTGAAAAAGTATGTAACAGGCAGAAGGAATCATTGCAGACCCCACAAAGTATATATATTCTTGATCAGCACGACGAGCTAAGTCGATATAGCCCTGTCCGTCTGTCCGTCCGGCTGTCCGTATGAACTCCGAGATCTCAGAAGATATGAGCTAGAGAGCTGAAATTTTGTGTGTATATTCGTGTATACCATACGCAGTACGAGCGCTAACCAGAGAGCTCTCTGGTTAGTGGTAATATCGTATTCGATTGCTCGTTATTTGCCTTACCATTACACGTATATTTATTAATCACGTTCATGTATTAATAAAATGTGCATGAATAATTGTTTTACATGCAGAGAGAGATCCGAAATTAAAGGACTTTTAGGGAATATAACGCATTTTCAAGTATTCGTCCATTTTTCAGTATTTTTAAGATATATTCTTAAAAGTCCATAAAAATTGGTCAAGCAGATCTCGAGTCATAAGACTTGTAACAAACCCGACTTTGTTTTCTATATATTGATATAAATAATAGTATACATATCTATGTATGGTTGTTGAATAATTTTTTTTTTTTTAATTTTTATTAAAAATAAAAAATATAACGTTACAATTTCAACATTAAAAAAATTCTACAATTGATTTTACTAATTATAAATTGATAAAATCTTAAACCATTTTAAACTTAAGTAATTTCGTTCAAAAACTCATATTTATTTTTTGTGTAATTTTCATCATCAAAGGAACCGATTAAGACTGAGGACTGCAATTGACGTTGACACTGTCAGTCGGAATCATTCAAAGCTTTTTTTCTTTTCTTCGCTGCTTGCAAAATTTTATGTTTTGACCAATCCTCCTGAAATACTCAAATATGTTTATAGATAACTGAAAATTAGCTAAATTAAGTTCTTTACTTACTTCACTAGATGACTCATCAGAGGAGTATATAGCTTTCACGACATCTGAATTCTTTTTACTCCCGACGCTATGGTTATTTGAGTCTTTTTTACCAACGGGCTGCTTGCGGCCCCGTCCACTGCCACCACGTCTGCCAACGGCTGTTGTCTCATCTTCCGCTGCCAATGCGAAAAGATCACTGAACTGTTTCTACTCAGAAAGATAAAGGTAAAGATATATATATATATATATATATATATATTTTTTTTTTTTCTTTTTCTTTTTTTCAAGTGGCTTGGTTTTTTTTTTTTATATCACCTTTGTGCTTTCATTGCTATGTGTGTACGCTGATTGAAGAGCCCGCTGCATCATATCGTGGACATATAATCCTGTGCCAGTACCATGTCTACAACTTCTTCTGTAATGCTCTAAATGGTTTAATACCTTTGTATGAAATAGAGAAAAAAATAATAAAACATTTTTTTAAACATAAAATTTATTAAATTTAAACTCACGTGGTCAGCAGATGGAGTACTGCTTGCAGCGGAACTACCTTTAGATGGCCGCTTTCGCTTGTTGGGTGATGAACTAGGATATTTTGAGGTGAGAAGAGATGCTATAATTTCAGAGAGTTTTTCTTCGCATCGCTGACACCAAAATCTGTTCGAAGAAATTCAATTTAATAACATATCCCCGAAATCTACTTAATAAATACCTAAGAGCCGATGTGACAAATGGATCTCCTCTAGACTTCGCTTCCCTACTAAGCAATAGCCTGATTATTTCATTTGTGGGCTCTTCGTTCTTTAATAGCAACAGCAAATGACTTAACGCTTCCGGATGATTTGCAGCTTCTAGTTCCGGAAGTATGTCCTGTCGGAAAAGAAGACAAATTTATATTTCCAAGTTCAAATTGAATATAGGACATGATACGCATGTCGGATGTTCATACATAAGAAATATACTTTTGTATACATGTATAAATTACACACGCATGAGCATGCGCATGGCTTTCTGTGTGCGCTTACCATGCGAACTTAAATGATTCACAACATTATAGATGGGCTTTCGTTCTAAAACTTCCAAACAGTGATACTAGTGTTAAAATACAAATGTCTTTTGTTTGTACTCTGGACTTTTCGAGCAACTGATATTTCAATAATTATTCGCCCATGGATACACACACACGCACATACACTGGCATACGCACGCACGCATTAACTGCAGTGTGGACTTACTTTGGAAATATAATTGTGTAATAACTTTTCTTGTCGATGGACTATTTTCATGAAAATTTCAGATTATGATTATAACATGAATATGTATGCATTTGTCAAAGCACAAGTCTCTATTATTTTATTCCGTTTTCAATGGGTTCAGGGTATAAAAATATGGACAGACGAACTGACATGTGGACTGGGCTAAAACGACTGACCTCGATGCCCTGAATATAAATTTTTTACAGAACGTATACGAGCTACTCGAGGAATATCTGTCATCATTTATAATATTTAATTTTTAGTTGACTTACCTGTATACATTTTAGCGGTACATCATGCGCCTGTATAAGCTGCCATAAACAAAACTGTTCGTACGTTTCATATTCCAGGCTTTCACGTATACATTCAATCAAGCCATCTTGCTTAAATATTGTCATTTTGCCCTGAGCAATAGAGTACATTATATCGCGTACGTTTTTAGCGTCAACGCAGCGAAGAGTGATACGTAAAAGGTCAGTGTTATTAATGGCTATAGTTTTAAACTCTCTGTAAATGTCGGGCAGTAGCCACAAATATATTGTGGTGTTTTCCTTCTCAAGGAGATCAAGGTCTCGGACCAGACAACTGGCAATCTTTTCGTCCGTCGCCTCGCATATTTGCCGATATACTGTCGTCTTAAACTGATACGATTGCTGTGCATTTTTTCGTGTCTGCAATTTGCAGTGAATCTTCATAAAGTATAGAAGCAGATATCCCGTTTCACTCAAACGCTCACATATTTCAGATAATAGACTCTGAAAGGGTTTTTTACTCTTATCTTCATTCTCATACAGAAACCGAAATAAGCCATATAGCGGATAGCTTATGCTCTTAGCCAAACACTTCTCTTCAGTTTTACTCTCTGAAAACACATTTTGCTGTGGCAATGTTTCCCGGAGAATGAGAATCGTATTTGAGATCACATAATTGAGTTGTGTTTCATCTAAAGTCGAGGCAGGTAAGGTACGAAAATCTTTCAAAAATGCCTCCCATGTGAAAGAGTTGCGTTTCGTAAGAAATATCTCAAACGATTCGGCTATTGCCTCAGGCAACTCAACTTTTTCGGGTACTGGTTTCTCTTTAAGACGAACCTTAAATAATAAAATTTAAGCGTTTTTAATGATTTTGATACAACATCAATGATACTAACTTTTGCGATACTAACTTTTGACAGTGGTAAGTCATCGTCGTCGTCAGTGTTCTCTTCATTCTTGGTACATCTACCAAGGTTTTCGCTATCTTCATCACTAAATACAGCTTCATTTTCGCGCTCTAAACTGTCAATTGGCATGGTAGCAATTTTGCTATCATCATCCACTAGCGAAATGGTGCTACTATTTGCAGCAAATACTCCTGCACCAACATCGAAGTTCTCTGTAAATATAGTATACGAAAAGTATTATAAGATTAATATTTAATTCACTACTCTTAGACGGTTACCACTTTGCATTATCCGCTGATCCGCTTCTTTTTTAAAGATGGGCGCCTGAATAGAATGTGTTGCTGGATACATAGTCGGCGGCATATTTGAAACGGGGGACACAAATTCTCTAAAATTCTCACGGATTAGATTACGCAATTCTCTGTCCAGTTTCGGCGATTCAAATAGCGGATGCAAGTTTGGAATGACCTATGATCGGAATTTTAATTCAAATTTTCAGTGATTGTTCATTGATAATAAGCAATCATTAATTACCTGTTTATCGAGTATCAACTTTAATGAATTATATACCCCTAATCTTATTTTATCCTCGTTCTTTATATAAAAGTTCTTTGTAATGCGGCACAAGAAGTCGAGCAATGTACTGCTTACAAAGGGATGATTCCGAATGGAGTGATACATTACCAAGATGCCGGGCTCGATATTCATGATGTTGTCTTTGGCCGGATCGAAAAATAGCCAATCATAGAAAAGTGACAGTTTGGCATTAGCCGATGCAATTGGATTCGTACACGATGAGATAAGCCAGCCAATTATGGCCCAACGCGGGATAATATCGGAACACAGCATGTCGTTTGTGGGGTGAATTACGTTTATGATGAAGCGAATTAAATCTGATCTCAAACTGTGCGATTCGGGTGTTGAAAAATATTTGTCCTGAAACCAATCCTGATAGCGTTTCTGATTTCCAAACTTTACTGAAGATGCTAAAAAATGAAGTTTTCGCTCCATTTCTGGAAGTAACCGACATTGTAAAAATCTCCGACTAGTACGTATTTGTAATAAATGCCAAATTCCGTTAAATGTCGGATGCAAGCTTTTTGGATTGTATAATATATCTCGCCATAATTGTTCGAATTCCGGAATGCGTGCAACATTTTGTAATAACCTGCGCGAAAATAAAAATTAAGTTAAATTTTCGTTAATAAAAAAATATATTTTGTTTCGGCGCTCAATATTCGTCAAAAATCAGTTTTTAGAATTCGACAATATCTGTGAATATGCAGCATTACATACATGCATCATTTATTATATGTATACATCTTAGTCTTACCGTACAAAATCTCTTCCCAACGGTATAATGTCATGAAAGCGATCCCGAATCAAAGAAATTGTGAATTTAACTTCCTTTTGACGTAATGATATCAGGGCTGGATTAGCATGGTCTTCTATAAGGCGCACAAAACTGTAAACTGATGACTGTACAAGGAAAGGATTGGTTTCCAGCCACGCCCTGTACTCGATGAATATATCCAAAAGACTCTCAACGAGGAAGAGATTTTTATGGGACACATCTCCACCTCCCGCTTGACGCAAACAATTCCAAATAACATTCTCGACGCTAAGAACCTGGTGCTTCACAAATTCACGTAATACCCAGATCAATTGTCTCCTGGCTGTCTCCGTTAACTTTGCGTACTTTTCGGCCACTAAAAGAGTAAGATTTGCCACAATTACGTTCATTCCATCCCTAGACACAAGTGTTATGTCCCGATATGTTTTCGGAGCCATTGCGGGATCAGTTAATATGATGTATAGAAAGCCAATAGAAATCTCCTCATGCTGTTTCTCTTTGCAGACAAACTGTGTGAGCATATCATGCATTTCCTTATCACTGAGGCCTGCAATTTGTTGCTGCAGGCTAGCGTAAGATCGTTCGAATTTCTGTATACGTATTAAAGAAAACATCTATGTAAGTGCCCACACTTATATCAAAAATGTTATATGCGAATTTACCTCTTCGATTTCATCTTTACAGTCAACAGCCGTGCAGACAAACAACTTAGAGACGTGAACTGCGCTTTTTTGTTGCTGTTGCTCCATTTGAAAGCGTGGTGTCTATACTTTGGTTAAGTATTGTTCCTTAACAGCTGATATGATTTCAGTTATAATTTTATTTCATAATTACACACAAAAACAACTGAAATATTGGAAAACTGAATTCATAAAACTTCATTTACTAAACCATTACTATGTATGTTGGTATTTCTGTTTTGGTTTGTAGACAGAAAAAATATGGTTGCCTAAAACAGGGATGCCATCCATTAAAGTTGCCAGATAGTAGCAAACACGAGCCACCGATCTATATACATATGTACATAGTTTTAATTGAATTCTTAGATACAATATGAACGTTTTTTTGCAGTCTTTTAAAATATATATTATATACAAGACGTTTATTACATTTATGAGTTTTATTATTTATTTTAATCAGGTTTAGATTTGGTATGATAAACAATAGCTTAAGCTACTTTCGGTTTTATATATAAATTCTAAATCCTGGAGAGGCTAAACAGATATATAGCTTAAAATAAAAACTTTTCCTATTATTATCAAAATTAATATATACTCTTCCTAAATGTACTGGTAACAAATAATATCAAAATTACCATATATCGGTTATCGTTCAATTGTAAGTCACTAGCTACAATCGTCATACACATTTTTTCTTGTTTGCATTCGCATATATATAAAAAATAATAATAAAAAATAGTAACAACATATTGTGAAATAATCGGACAATGGAGGAGTTGCTAAACGAAGTGGTGCCCCAGGAGGATTTAGAGGTACATAAATATGAATATACAAGTTTTGAATATTCGTAAAGTATTTTATTTTGCAGAGATTCGAGAGGAAGTACCTTCATGAGTTTGAGCTCGATGGGGAAGTCTCAACAGAAACAAAGTTTGAGTACGTAGCTGAATTTTGATCTCTATACAAATGTATATATAAATATAAAACTATCTAACTTTGCAGATACGCTTTCTGCTTGGTCCGGAGTCGTTATACCAATGACATTCGAAAGGTGAGTCAGTAATTTATATTGAACAATTGAACAATAAATGTTTGTGCATGTGTATGTATGCATGTATATCAGTTATGCACACATGTATTTACTACGCCTTTACAATTTTACTATGTGAATCAGGGTATTATGATTTTGGAGGATCTTTGTCGTTTACATCCAGACGGACGACGTGATTATATATATTATCTTGCCTTTGGAAACGCACGAATAAAAAATTATACAGAAGGCCTAAAGTACTGTAGAGCATTTCTTGATATTGAATCTAATGATCAAGTGCGGTCATTAGAGGTAAGTTTATTATCAAAACAGTCTGGCTTACAAATTCAATTACGTGAAATTTTGTAAATTTTGTTTTGTTATAGGAATACATTAAAAAACAAAGCGATAAGGAGGTTGCAAAGGGCATTGCTGTAGCTGGAGGAGCAGCCCTAGTGCTTGGTGGAATTTTGGGCCTAGGAATTGCGATGGCTAGAAAGTAAACTATAATTTTTAATCCCGACTATTCCGCATCCCATTTATTTCCAAAGACCTAATTATCACAAAGCAATGATCATAATTTATAAACAGATTTAGATGTAAATACTTCATACATATATTAAATTAAATGTATTAACTGTCGTTAAAATATTTCTCTTATATTCTTTTATAGTAAGCAAAAACGCGATAAATAGTGTAAACATGTGATAAAGCTCTTACGGAATCCGATTCCTTCCCAAAATGTATACATCTATGTACTATCATAGTCAGGACGTGGCTCAAACACATAGCGCCAATTATTCAACTTCATTCTATTTCTCTTTAATGCCCTATTTAATAATAATTGCTTTTTTATTGTCAGTTATACTTTTAGCTAAGTAATTGTTATTAACAATTTATCATATATTAAACTAATAAGCTCTGTTTACCAAAAATGTTAGTGAAATAAATCATCAAACTAATATTTTGGTTTCCAATTATTACCTTCTACTGAAGGGTAATCAAACTTTAAATGGAACTCCAAACTCAATCATAATTAAGAGGGAACAGCTCGGCAGCATAGCGTATTGTTTTGGTAATAAAATAGTGCAGCCGATCGGTATTTAAGAAGGTGACATTTTGATGATCGCTCGAAAATATATTAGGATGGCTTCACAGTATAACTGAATTATGCTTGAGGTATTGTACTAGTAGACATATTTTTATTTATATCCAGAGCACAATTTGAAAACATGAATTCCAGCGTGGCCGAATTCGTAATTGCAATGCAATGGGAGAATTGGTAAGCCTCTCTAGCTACAACCTAACACATTCGTAATATCAATTCAGCGCAAGCGATTTCAAATTTCTTATTTAGCAAATTGTGTATGCCATCAAATTAGCTTAGAGGTTTCAAATGGACCTGAGACTATTCCGGGACTACTATAAACAATAATATAACCAAAATTCCACTTTTACTTTACTTTCTTCATATTTCGCATCTTTAAATTACATCGGGACTTTTTCTCTAGAAGTACATGCATACATACATATATTTATTCTTGTATTTCATTATTATTACATTCATGATTGACTTCTACTTCTTCTCACAGCCCATTTTTTCCAACACACTAACATTTATTTCATCTATTAATATTTTATAAAACTTCCAACAGCTCATGTCCATTAAGCGATAGTTATGTTCTTAGCATTCTCCACCAGTAACTTACATACGTACATATGTATTTCTTGCGAGTAACAGTAAGAGTGTACGATTATTGCAAGCAACTATTCTAATATCTAGACTGCTTTTCTCAACTATATTCTTCACTTTCTTCGAATAATCCTTCAAGTTTGCATATTGAGTTGCATTTTGTCAAAATTACAAACAGAAGAAAACTGGGATAATTTCGTGTCAGGTCGGGACACCTGGACATTAGCTCCTGCTTTACTTGTCCCAGAATTCGAGGACGGATGACAGCTCATGCATTCAATTAAGTCCTGCCACAAGATTTGGTGCCGATTTCAGTTCCGCACTATCATCATGATGATTGCCAAAAGATTTCTTGGCAAGCACGATGCCTCATCAGCCCAAGATTAAGGACGTTGCTATTCGAAAATTCGTTCAAATAATAATAATGCATGACTAAATGCATGCATCTTGACAAATTTACATTTTTAATACATAGCTCTTAATTATACTAATTCACGAAAGTGAAATGAGTATATTGGGCTTGAGCAATGTCCGTCTCTTCTGTCCGTGTGAACGCAATTTTTTTCGCTCTATTGAAGCTATAGACTTGAAAATCGTGTATACTTTCGATCTATAAAGTGTTAAAATTTTCCCAATCCGCCCACTAGGGACGTGGAAAATCGTAAAATGCATTTTTAAAACTTCAAATTTAGATAGTAAAGTTACTAGTAACCTCCTCTATCGATTTCTAAAATATCAAAATATACCCTGTAATTTTTTCATTTTTCGAGCGTAATCATCCAAATTTTGCATCTAGGTTACCGTTTGCTACTAAATTGCCCGACTGCAATGTTCTAACTTCTTTTATTTTATCATTAGCAGCAAAAATAGAATATAAACGCACTATTGAAATGAAGATACAAGTAAAAGTTTATTGTGTAAAGCATTTTTGGTAAAATTTTGCGCAAGACAACACCTGACCTGTAGTCCTCTGAAAAGTTAGAAAAGTAAAAGGCCTATTCGGCACTAATTGTACAAAATTCAATAAGAACAATTAAGAATGCTCTAGTCGAGACTGCTCGACTACGAGATCCCCTGAGCCCTACAAGCACTGATATTTCAATAATAATTCGCAGACACACGCATATACACAGGCATACACGCGTACACATAAAGATGCATTGGCTGCAATGTGGATTACTATGGAAATTTAATTGTTTAATAACTTTTCTTGGTGGACTATCTTTATGAAAACTTCAGATTATGATTATAACATGAATATGTATGCATTTGTCAAAGCACATGTCTCTAGTATTTTATTAACGTATTTAAAAGATATAAAGGTGAGTGGGTTGATATAGGGGTGGGGGTAAATGTGGAGACCCTACCATCTTGAGATATAGGAGATATAATTTTAAACCTGATTTTCGATAAGGTTTGTAATCGATAACAAAATAATGCATGTGTTATCGATTTTTGGAGATAAACTCCCTATACATATGGGCATTTAAAAACAAATTTCAAGTCTCTAGCTCTTATTTCTTCTGAGATCCACGCGTTCATACATATGGACAGACAGACGAACAGGGCCGAATCGACTCAGCCCGGCGCCTGGATCAAGAATATATATATACTTTATAGAGTATGTCTCGCCTCTTTCTGCCTGCTACATACATTTCAACAAAACTATTAAATATAAATATAAAAATAAAAAAAGGTTTTCCTCTAAAATTACCTTTTTTGATATCAGAACATGGTTAGTGGTAGAATAATTGTTATACAAGCCCTTCAATATGTTCAGGCTATATCCTAATCCAGAAAAAAAAGTACAAATTCGAAATTGAATTAAATTATACAATTATAAATTTTCTTTGAAACATATTAAACCAGAATTATTTAGTGAATCAGTAAGTACAGAAGATAGAAAGCTTCAATGCATCTTCAAGACCATCAAGAAAAACATGTATGTATATGTCGCGGACTCAACTTACTTTTTCACAACCAAGCAGGCAGTTAAATAGGCAAGGAGATAGACAAGTAGCACGAACAGTACACGCCGCCATACACGGCAATCATTCATATTTATGTTTAAATTTGACTTAATTTTTTATTTAGCCTTGCCCTAGTTACCCATGATAAGAATATGTAGGGTGTATGAAACAACAAAATAATTGTAAATAAATGCATCCGTTTCCAATAAATAGTTCTTCCATGATGATATTGCTTCAAAAATTGATAATTTCTTTAAGAGCGGCTAGGCATCGGTGCTTGTCGGGTAAATAGAAAGGTTCGAACACATGGGGGAATGGTGTATCCCAGCCAGTGACCCTTTTTATTGGTGCTTCAAGACGTAAAAAGCACTTTTCTTGTATATATGCTGCCAATTCAGAGCCGAACCCTTGAGTAAAAGGCGCTTCATGAGCAATCAAAACGCGTCCAGTTTTATTAGCAGACTGCAAGAACGGAAAGATTTTAGAGTCCCATTAAATAATGAATAACAATTAAGAAAGCTCTAGTCGAGACTGCTCGACTACGAAATCCCCTGAACTATTCTAAGAATTGATTCAATAATTCTTCGCGTCTTTCTGTTTACACAAGAATCTCAAATACAAACACACACATAGGTATGCACGCATAAACACACATGGACTGCAGTGTTTGCTTATTATGGGAACTTAATTGTTTAATAACTTTTCTTGTCGATGTACTCCATGAAACTTGTAGAAACATGATCATAAATGCATGTGCCAAAGCATAAGTATGTAATATTTGAAATAAGCCTTTTAGAAATATGTGGGTGGGGGTGGATATAAGGGTTAAATTACCACAAAAACCGAGTTTATATATATATATACATACATATGTATGTATATGCAAGTCTACATTTAAAGTTTGGAGACTTTAGCTCTAAAGGAGTAGAAGATATAATTAAATAACTAGTTTTCTATAAAGTTATTAATCGATAATAAAATATTGGGAATTGTTATAAATTTTTTGATAAAAATTCGATATGCGCGTGATATACACGGACCTAGAAAATAAAGTTTTAGGACTCCAGCTTTTACGTCTTCTGAAATCGACGCGTTCATACACACGGACGGACGGACGGACAGGGCTAATTCAACTGATCTCGTCGCCTTGATCAAGAATATATATGACACGCCTGCTTCTGCGCTTCACATACTTTTAACAAACAAAACCCAATATACCCTGATTTCCCATTGAAAACGGGTTCAGGGTATAAAAATAAAAACTTACATCGCAAATTGTCTGAGTGTCCCATGGCAAAACGGAAACCAAATCTATAACTTCACAGTCTATATCCAGCTCCTTTTTTGCCAGGTCTGCGACCTACAAGTAATTAATACAGTCCAAATGCCTATAAAGATTTGGTCTACGATTTACCTCCAAAAGCACATGAATTTGTGTACCCCAGCCAATGAGGGTAATATCTCTGCCTTCGCGTAATATATCACATTTTCCCAAATCGTCTGCATAAGATTCCACTGGCACTTCCTCTACTGCAGCACGATATAAGGTTTTAGGCTCGAACATAATGCATGGGTTCGGATCTTTTATGCATGCCAACAACAGCCCCTTTGCCTTAATCGGACCACGTGGAATCTGCAACGCAATTTAAATTATTATTGATTAAAATGATTGCTTAAAGTAAAAAAGCCTTACGACAACACGTAGACCGGGGGTATGTGCGAAGTATGCCTCGGGACTCTGTGAGTGATATAAAGCCCCATGTCCAACAGCACCACAAGGAACGCGGAAAGTCAACGACCCGCAGTCGAATAATCCACCACTTCGATAACGATATTTGGCAGCCTCATTCACGATTTGATCGAAGCTTGGAAATATATAATCAGCAAACTGAATTTCAGCTATTGCAGTAGTGCCAGTATTAGCTACACCAATTGCAAATCTATTTAGAAGCAAACAAGAATGTATGATAAAATGTTTTTTAATTAATGACATAAATTTAAATACAAATATACCCTTTGAAAATATTAGAATAAGATTAAGAATTAGTTTTTTGTGAAGCAATCCCTAATATGTAGTTTTAATTTCAAATTTGTACTGATAGGCTTTTTCAGTAAAATAATTTATACTTTAACTTAACCTATTATTATTAATATTATTATTATTATTAACAACTTTGCAATCGGGCACCTTAGGATACTACAAAAATTCAACCTTGCTATATTTTTATCATATTTTTCGAAATTTTCATTTTATAATCTATTGGTACATTGTATTTATCATATTAATTTTCACCGGGTTTTGATCTCTCTATAAATTTATAGCTTACAGTTCTTGGATACGTACCCAGCAATACCTTGCTCACACAAGGGCGTATTAAAAACTCGATCCTTTCCGTACTTATCCCTCAAATTCATAGAGCAGCTATTGAAATAAAGAAATTAGCATGAACATGGCAAAAAGTGTATTCAAATATTTAATTGAGTTAATACCGAAATACTCCACCAAAGCCCACATCTTCTCCAAATAATAATGCTGACGAATCTTGCTCAAGAGCCAGATCCATTGCATTGTTTATAGCTTGAAACATATTCATTTTCTGCACAGTGTGGGTGCCTTCAACTAATTTAGTGGGGTAATATGTGAAATGTGAACGGGTAGAACATCTCGAGCTTGATTTTATTGCACTAAGCAATCCCCGAGCCAGAGACGATACTTTCATGATCACTTTTGAAATTAACGGAAAGGATAAGGAACTAGAAAATCAAGGCCTTTAACACAATTACGTAACAAAACAGGCTGCATCGGCAGTAAATATACATACATACGTGTGTAAATATATAAATCTTATGTAGTAATGTATATAATGTACATGTTATCACATTGATCAGGTGGCATGGTGCTGCCAGATCGCCAATTCTTCGAATCGACAACATAAGGGATACTCCCAAAATTTATTGTAAAATTTTTTTTGAAGTTTGATTGAAGTTTTTAGATAAAAAACAAATATAACCAAAATTTAAACATATTCCAAAGGAATTCTTTGATAACCTTATTCTGACTAAATTAACATTTTAACGCAGCTCACATTTGCTCCTATCGATATATTGGTTAAATAAAAAACTGTTAATATCGGTAGTTTCTCATCCCAATGAAATCGAGCTGAAAATACCAATAAACAATAAACATTTACTCCCTTTATAAAACCTTTATATTTTATCAAGAAAGTTGATCTATATTTAAAAATGTCGAAAATTATAGAAATACCAGTACATGCACAGAAGCTGTTGACCATATTTAGAACAATTATACCCAAACTGAGCAATGGAAAGTATAAAGGTCAATATGGTCGAATTGGTGTTATTGGGGGCTCTCTGGAATATACTGGAGCACCATACTTTGCAGCAATTACTGCTATGAAAGTAGGAGCAGATTTATCACACGTGTTCTGTCACACTAATGCAGCGGCAGTGATTAAATCGTATAGCCCGGACTTAATTGTGCACCCAGTTCTGGACTGTAAGGATGCTGTTGAAAAAATTAAACCTTGGATGGAACGATTACATGTTATAGTATATTTAAATATACTGAACTAATTTTGTACCTTAATTAAATCAGTGTTTTATAGGTAATTGGACCAGGCTTAGGGCGAGATCCTAGCATTCTTAAAGCTACAACAGATATCATTAAGCTTTGTCTGGAGATGAGAAAACCAATTGTCATAGATGCAGATGGGTTGTTCATACTAAATGATAATATCGAGCTAATATGTGGAAAACGAGATGTGATTTTAACACCCAATGTAATTGAATTCGAAAGATTGTTTGGGAAGGATGCCTCTATGGCACACGAAAAGATGTCATTACTCGGAGATGGGGTTTTGGTGCTTGAAAAAGGCGCCCATGATAAGATTCACATACCCCATACTAATGAAGTGTATACCATGCCAGTCGGTGGATCAGGACGTCGTTGCGGAGGCCAGGGTGATTTGCTTAGTGGATCCCTAGCAACTTTCTTTTATTGGTCTTTGCAATCAAACCAACCCAATCCAGCATATTTGGCTGCTTGTGCCTCTAGCTATTTCGTTAAGAAAATAAATTATGCAGCATTTCAAAAACTAGGACGTAGCTTTGTTGCCAGTGACATGATAAATGAAATATCCTCAGTCTTTAAAACTGAGTTTGAAAATTCGAGCTCTGAATAGTACATTTGTAATTAACATCCATTGTAATTAGCGGTGTATTTTGGCTGAGAGTCCCTTAGTCGTTGCGTTTGCAGTTTGTTACTACATTACATACGGTGAATAATTTATAAATAAGAAATTATATGTTATAATATAACCCAAAGAGACAATATTATTTAGTTAGATCGTTAAAAGTACAGTTTTACTTGATCAGTGCTTAAAAAATAATAGTATTAAGATTAAATTGTATTATATTATATTGTCAAGGTAAATTTGACCAAAGTGGAAAATAATTTAATTTATCTTTTTAAGATGTTGATGATAACTCTTATTATCAAAGGAAATAATGAGTAATTTCAGCATAATATAAATTAAACAATAATTATTAATTTTGATTTTTGTGCTTTTAATTATTTTATAAAAAAAAACAAATTTAAAATTCCATTGAGCTCTGATTATTATTATAAACTTTTTATATGCACTTCAATTTTTTTTTTTTTTTGAAATAGCCTTCAAATTCATTAAAAATCATTCATAATTTGAGTTAATCAATAATTACAGATTTCCCGTACGCATCTAAAATAAACAAGTGAGAAAGGTCTAGTCGAGACTGCTCGACTACGAGATCCCCTAAACCGCCCCGATCAAGAATCTGCCTGATTTTAACAAATGGCTTTCTTATCAAAATAATTTTATAGATAATTCTAAAATTTAAATGTTTTATTTTTAGCTCTGTTAAGTTTAAACCCTAACTAGTGGTTTAAAAGAACGATGTAATCATATTCCACCGCTGGTATTTTTATACAAAAAAAAAAAAAAAATGGCGTTTTTTAGTACTTTTCTCCATGCGTTGGAGTTGCGGAAGATACGCGTTTATAACTTATAATGTTGGTTTATTATAGTCTTTTCTTTCTCCTTAGTGCTTATACATATGTATATGAGTTGGTGTGATTTATAATTGCATATACTGCACAAATTATTTTTTGCTTAGTAAATAAATGATACCAACACGGAAACGAATTCTTATATTGTTATTCTTGATTGCCACACTAGGGCTTTTACTGCGAATTCTATCCTATCCTCGGACGCAGTTAGTTTTAAAGGTAAATATTTAATATGTTCCAATGAGTTGGCTGATAATGCAATGTATGTATGTATGTATAAGGTTTACCTACATACATATGTATAAAGTAATATCTAGCCAACCTGCTTGTAATAACTTGTAATAACTTAACTTATAATAACCATACTTGAATGATATTAATAAACTAGTTCCTAATTTGCAGGAGGAAGCAAACTATCGAAAAGCTCCAGGAGATCCACTGCCCGTATTGGTAACAGTATTTTATGAGGCTCTCTGCCCGGATTCTACATATTTTATTACTAAGCAATTGCTGACCACGTACAAAGCTGCAGCCCCTATAATGGAAGTGCAACTCGTCCCTTATGGCAAGGTATACTGAAAATTAATATATAATATAATACATTCTCTTATAAAAAAATTATTTTAAAGGCACACACTACAACCGATAATGAAGGCAAATTTATATTTGATTGCCAGCACGGTCTGACGGAATGTCAAGCAAATATGTATCATGCATGCGCTGCTGAAGTCATTGATGATGCACTTACTCGACTAGAAGTTGTGACCTGTATGATTCGAGACAATCGAAATCCCAAAGATGCCATGCAAAAGGTTCACTTGCCTCATACATTAATGAAACTCAAAGTTACGAATGAGTGCCTTCTTTTTTAGTGTACCAAACAATACAATGTAGAGAATGTTGATCTCATCCAGAAGTGTTTTGATAGCAGCCATGGATCTGAACTAATGAAATTGAACGGTGATGCGACTCACGCCCTTCGACCACCAGTAACATTCATTCCAACAATAACATTAGACGGCTCGCAAGGCAACCAGGCTTCCATTTTAAAAGATTTGTTCACTGAAATTTGCAAATCAGCTGGAGGCGCTGCGCAGGCGGAGAGTATTTGCAAAAATCGCTAGGTTAATATTGATTAAAACAAGGTGCAACTTTTATTGACGATTTTTTAATGCAATATTATTTTTTTTTTTTTTTTGGCAACAAACATAAATGGAAACACAAATACTTAGTTAAATGATTAATGATTCAAAAACACTTTATATATAACATCCTTTTCTTTTAATATAGATTAGCCTGAACACTGCTGAATTGGATTGTGTCTATACACGAAAACATCTATATGTTATTTGTCATTGATTCGATGAGCAGTCTCTGTATCAACATAAATTAATATTAAATTGATTTATGTGTATTCCAACAACTACGTCAAGAGTGTCGTCCTTAATGATGGTGGGATGTAAGGATGAGTCCTCATTGGAACGTTCATTGACAATGGAAACTGTAAATTTCTTTATAAGACAGCTTTTTGAATCACAAAGGCTTAATGCAAACTCTATTGTTAAATCGCTTTGATTTAGTGTTTCAGTCCTAAGAGTTAGGGACGATTTATTAACAAGTTTAAGGCTACATTTACCCTCAGCTAATAGACCATTTAATTGATTAATTTCCAATGCTGGATTCAGGAATTTTACCGTCCACTTCTGTGCTGCATCCAGAGTAAATTTAAGATCTGATGAGAGTCTCATGCTGAAATTAATGGTGCAGTTCCTATGATGAAGCACAGGAATCTTTTTTACTAACTCTAACCCACTGACTTTTGATGGAGAGTGCGGAGCATCTGTTTCAGTAGTATTCGTAATTTGATTAAAGTCCAGTAAAAAAGGTTCAGCAGTAAGTGTTACCAAATCAATTATATGAATGCCGTGGTTATTTGTATCAGCAACTAGTAATCTATTTCTATCAGCGTCAACACAAAGACCAGACGGCTCTCTAAGAGCAAGCGTGCTACCATCTTTGTTTTTGATACTTAAGGTTGAAATTATATTAGTTTCAGTATCAACTTGTTTGATTTTATGATTATACGTATCAGCCACGTATAGCTTCCGATCGACGTTATTATACGCTACGCCCAGTGGATGCTGAAGTTTTGCATTGTACAGTTTGCCGTCTTCGTCTCCAAAGGCAAATAGGTTCTAAAAAATGTTTAAAATTAATGTTACATAAATGCATATAATTGGCACATTATTATATACCAGAGGATTGCGATCTCCACCAACAACAGGCATTACTTTACCATCGACCATTGAAGCTTTGCGTATACTAGAGCTCTCACTGTCGGCTATATAAAGATAATCAGTGGACATGGCCAAGCCTGAAGGCTGTGCAAACGCTGCGTTCTGTGGATAGGAGTTGTTTCGGTTTTCCTCAAGCCCATTGCCAATTAGAGAAACGCAACAACGTGGCTCAAACTTTCGAAATTTCCACCAAATTATGCCTTCGGGGAAATAGCCCCAAATCTGATGAGTTCCAGCCATGGCTATCAGCACTATTGTTTTCTCAGGGACATTAAGCTCGTCTACGTGGAAAGACATATCCATGTCCCTGGTGCGAAACACCGACACATCCCACGGTGATGATAGTGGCTGCAAAGGCCCCAGTTTTCCACCAGTTCGTTCATTGCCTTGACTACCCGTTCCGGCTAGCGTTTCAACAACTCTGTTCTTCAGGGAAACTTGTCGAAGTGCATGATTATCAGTATCGGCCACTATGAGCGTATTTTTATCAAGAAAGGCAACACCCTGAGGATTATTGAATCGCGCTATATTTAAAGAGCCGTCCACAAAGCCTGCCTCCAGTCCGCCGATTTTATACTTTACCACCCCACAATTGGTCACCACAATAATTCGATTGTTTCCAGCATCAGCTACAGCATACTGATCTTCTAGCACAGCAATTTTTGCAGGGAAGCGTAAATTGGATGCTGGCAAAAGATCTGTTGACAGCTGCAGTGGTAAGCTGAAGAAGTTGATTTTTTGCTGGCGGTCAAAAAAGGATAACGCCGCTCCAACAAAGTCGCGAAGAAACTCACCGTGGCCTTCACCCATTAATAACAACATGGGCATCCCGCTTGGACTTAAAACCAAAAGCGAAGGCCAACAACGAATGCTCAGAGCTCGCCATAGAGCAGATTTCGAGTCATTAACAATGGGATGTTTAATACCATAGCGCTGCGCTGCCGACAGAATGTTAGCTGCTGTTCGTTCATTTTCGAATTTCGGACTATGCACGCCAACAACAACAAGTCCACTTTCCACTGGGAATCTCTCTTCCAAAGCCCGAAGCTCTGGCAACACATGCATACAATTAATGCAACAGTAGGTGAAAAAATCCAACACGACTAATTTTCCGCGTAAGCCGGCAAGTGTCAATGGCCTACTTACATTGAACCAATCCAAATCTGTACGGACAGATATATATGTAGATATATACATGTTTGTTTTATGTACAAAAAAGAAATCTTGCAACATACCAGTCTCGAATTCGAAATTTAAAGACTTCACCTTTGCAATGGAATTGTCGTTTGTATCCCATCGTCCCAGAAATTCGTCAAAGACTTTGGCTTTATTGGCTCGGTTACTTAGGTAATTTTGCTGAAGTTGTTCAGTTACGAATGTAACGATGTCGATTGCAGAAAATTCCTCCGAGTTGTCCATACCTAAATCACTTTTATACCGTATATATGCTTTTATATGCTAGATACTAAATAGATGAGTTCATTATGCAGAGTTCGCCTGTTCCGCTTCACAACAGGTTCAATTGAACAGATCATTAATATGCACAGCTGAACTTGTTCAGATGTGTTCCAGAAAACGCAAATTGTTTTTGCTCAGCGCATTTAAATTCACATAAACCTCGTGTATTCTAAGAACAGAAATTTACATAGGCAAATTTATATAATAAATTATCATATCAATATATAATAAACTCTGTCTAAATAAAATTTTTTCTCTAATAATGCAAATGTATACAGTGTTACCGAATCAGCTATTTCGTAACTAGATCTAGCTACTTTTTTATGGCTAGCTCGCTACAAAAATTTTAAAGCAGCTATTAGCTACAAATCTGGCTATTTTTATACTCATTCACGAATGTGAAATGAGTATATTCGTTTTGTGAAATATCCGTCTTGCTGTCCGTCCGCCTGTCCGTATGAGCGCAGTTCATTTCAGCGCTATTGAAGCTAGAGACTTGAAATTCGGAACACATACTCGTGTATATCTCCAATTTATTAAGTGTTAAAATTTTCCCGATCCACTATCGCATTTTCCGATATACCAGATATCATATAAGTTGATGAGCTAGAAAGCTGATTGAATGGAAATTAGATCCGCGTCAACCATCCCAGATCATGAGCTATGGCGGATATATCTACGCCCATTGGGGACGTGGCAAATCATATAAAACTGTATATCCTAGAGTTTTAAATTTAAAACGTTAATACTTTGCATGTGAACTAATGTCAGATTTAAGATTTTGAAGCTAGAGACCTCAAATTTGGTATATGTACATATATACTCGGACTGACCTCTCAAGCGAAAAACCTTTGTTGGATATATAACCGCCCGCAGGAGGCGTGGCAAACCGCATAAGTTTATATCTCCTATAGTATGAAATCTAAAAGCTTCAAATTCGTATAATTAAGTTACTAGTAACCTTCTTTATCGATTCTATAAATAATATTGTTACGCCTCTTTAGATGCGTGGCATATCAAAAATTAACCTGTACTTTATTAATTTTTTGAGCGTAATTTCGCAGCTAGGTTACCGTTAGCTTGTTCTATCAGCTGAAGTGTCTACGCTTTGTAGGGGCGTGGAAAGTTGAGAAAATTAGAGCAAAACTTAGCTACTAAATCGCTGATGGGGTGTTAATTAATATTCCGCCGGTAACGATCGACTGCAAAGTTCTTACTTGTTTAAGATTACATTTAGCTAAAATAAAAGTGAACTAGTGAATTGGTTGGTTTGGATCATATTTTGGAGTGAAATTTACCAACAACAATGGGCAAAATTTATTGCATCGAGATCATTATCGAAGTTTTTAATTATAGAGACTCGACTAATGCCAAGTTATACAAAGAATTGGGTAGCATGGCATGGTTATCAACACAGAAAATGTCCATAAATTTATAGTATGTGTAGAATTACAGCTTAATCCAATATATACATTTTTTATATTGTTGCGGAAAGCCTTCAATCAAAATGATTCGTCCCTATGTAGTCTAAATCTGTTCAGTATTTTTTAATTGATTAGTTAAAAAGAATTATCTATGGCGCTACGGTCACACTGTGCTAGTGATTATATACGTATATAGCGCATTGCACAGGCAGGCATATTGCTTTTAGGAGCTTTACTTGTGCCAACGGAATATCACTCGGACGGACTTCGTGATATTATTGTAATATAATTGCTAAATACAACACGCAAACATCACAATAAATACATATTATGGAAAAGAGTGAAAAGTGTTTGAAACAATGTCATAAACGGACTAAAGTGTCAATCTCAAAAATAATTACCAACACCTCAGTTTTGCGAATGCCGCGTGTGAGAGATGGAAAATCAATTGCACGTCCAAAATTATGTGTTACACTGGAGGGTCTACGAGACATAAAAAGCTTTTATCTTGCTTTGCTAATTACATTTTTAGCGTTAGCAAATTGTAAATTGGCCCACGGCTCTTTTGAAAATGTCGATTTTGATGGCGTTACTCCGTTAACAGTGTTAAAACCATTGAATTTAATGACAAATCTGCTGGCAGAAGAAAACATAAATAACTCGAACACAGAAACAAATAAACTAAAGGACTTGCAGTTGCCAGAAACACAAACAAGGCAAGTTAGAATACAATACAATACAATACAATGTATTTAAATAATAAATGTAATTATTTATATACCTAGGCGACTTTTACGTTTATTGATGTTAATTAGTCTTATGCTTTATATAGGAAAATCACATGCATTCGATTTGTATTTAAGAGAAATGTGTGTAAGGAAGCCTAGCATACAAATTATAAAGTCCAATTTATCTAGTGCCTGAATCTATTTTTCTTAGATACGTTAAACACTGCCCTCACTCTCAGCTGAAATTATCATTGCTAATTTTTTATT